GTCTTGCGGGTCGTCCTCTACTAGCAACAGAAGAGAAGGTATCACTATAGTTGAGCCCATAGATCTGAGTAAACCCTTTTGCAACAAGGTGAGCCTTCAGTTGATCAACTTTGCCATCAAGACAATCTTAACAGTGTAAACCCAACGACACCCAACAACAGTCTTGCCTAGCAGTAAAGAAACCAACCCCCAAGTACCATTATGATCAAGAGCAGTCATCTCTTTAATCATGGTAGCTCTCCACCCTGGACGGGCCATTGCCTTGCTAACAGTGTTAGGTATAAGGATAGAAGACAGGTTTGAAATAAAGGCAGAATAAAATGGAGATAAACTATCATAACTAAGAAAATTATAAATAAGATGTGGGTTTCGAGAAGATCGAATACCTTTGCGAAGGGCAAGTGGAGGAGTTGCCTTGTCTACAGGAGACATGACCGGAGCAGGCAATGGAGGAATAGGAGATAGGTCATCAGGATTGACCGAGGTACCTGTATCAAGAAGGGAAGTACCATTGGGATTACTAGGAGGACGAGGATGACGAGAATAAACTTGGAGAAGAGGACGATCCATCGACAAGGAAGAATGGATGGGGATAGGTATGGTGGCAGGGATAAGATTGCTATTGACAGTGTTTTCAGAAAAGTATGGAGATGTCTCAAAGAAAGTTACATCTGTAGAAACAAAATATTTTTTGGTGGTTGGGTCATAGCAACAGTAACCTTTCTGGAGACGAGAATATCCTAAGAAGATACACTTAACAGATTTAGGTTGTAATTTGTCTTTGCCTAGAGTGTGATCATGAACAAAGCAAATGCAACCAAACACTCGTAAATGTATTAGGTATGGGTCTTTACCAAGAAACAGAATAGAGTGAGGACTCTTATGTTGCAAGACAGAAGAATGCATATGGTTAATCAAGTAACAGGCAGTGAGAACTGCATCCCCCGAAAATCGAAGAGGAACATGATGATGTATAAGTAAGGTATAGGCTGTTTCAATAAGATGAAGATTTTTGTGTTCGGCAACCCTATTTTGCTAAGAGGAGTATAGGCACATGAGGTCTGGTGAATAATATCCTGAGAAGACATATACGTAGTAAAGGGAGAAGATAGTTATTCCCTAGCATTATCACTATGCAAAATCTTAATAGAAACACCAAATTGATTGCGAATCTTAGCACAAAAATTTTGAAAGATAGAAAAAAACTTAGAATGAGTTTCATTAAAAATACCGAAGTATAATGAGAATAGTCATCTATAAAAGTAATAAAATAATAGAAACCCAAAGTTGAACTAACATGACTAGGACCTCAGATGTCTATGTGAACAATATCAAACATTGAGATGGCCCTATTATTGACTCGCTTGGGAAATGAAGCTCTAGTTTGTTTTCCAAGTTGACATGAATCAAAATTAAAAGAAAATGATGTAGACATACTAGGTGCTAATTTCTAAAATTTGGCAAGACTTGGATGACCAAGGTGGCTATGAAGAATGTTGGTAGATATAGCGGAGGTGAAGGCAACTGGCAGATTTGGATCGGAGAGGTGGTACAATCCATGTGATTCATGTCTTGTTCCAATCGTCTGACTTGTGTTCCGATCCTACACCACAATAAAGTCGGCAAAAAAGGTGACATAACAGTTATGATATTTGGTTAACTTACTAATAGAAATCAGATTATATGGACATTCAAGGGCAAATAAGATTGAGTTTAAAGAAATGGAAGGAAGTGGTTAAGCTTCTCCTATCCCTTTGACCATAGTCTGTGAACCATTAGCAAGAGTAATTTTTTATAAAGTGGGAGAAGAGGTAATTTGAGATAAAAGATTTTTATTACCAAAAATGTGGTCAGATGCTCCGGAATCCAAAATCCATGGGCCAGTAAAGGAGGTCCAGCTTAGATAGGCAATGGAATTACTAGTTTGGGAGGCGCCAGATGAGGATGATTGTTGCTTGACAGCTTGATATTGAAGATACTCATTGTAATCAGCCCCAGACAATCTAATAGAGTTGGGTTGTTGGTCTTTAGCATCGAGTAAGGGAATGAGTCCATCTCTAGTTGCTTGAGCCACATGAGCGGTGGATCGATTAGAAGATTGACGTGGTGGCCTCCCATGCAAATCCTAACAAGTGTCTCGGTTGTGGCCGTTCTTGCCACAATAGGTGCAATGTGGTCTAGATCCCTTTCTTTTTCCCTTTCCAGAACCATTCTGCGCTTGCTGATTTCCTGCTTGAACAGCTAATACAGATGTCTCAACCTCATTAGTATCGCCTAGGTTTAAAGAAAGACGCAGTAATCAAGCAGATACATCTACCAAAGATGGTATGGTAGGGCCAACTAAAATTTGATCTCGAACAGACCAAGGTCAGATTGTAGTTTGATTAAGGCTAGGACCATAAAGAATTTGTCACGTTGTCTCTCTTGTTTAGTGGTACTATCAGATACTGGCATAAGGGAATCAAATTGATCTTTTAAAGTCTCTATCTACCCTAAATAACTCTCTATGTCTTGATTATTTTGTTGAAGGTGGACAATATCATAAACAACTCTATATATTCTTTGCACATCATTCGTATACAAAGTTTTGGCTTTGGTCCAGACCTTACATCAAGTTTTACAAGATTGAAACAAATTAAGCAATTTAGGGTCTAAAGAGTGCCAAAGGAGACTACATAACTGAGCATCAACTTTAACCCAACTAGCCCTCTCAGTAGTAGAAATATTAGTGGATGTTTTACTTAAGTGATCATCATAACCCTACCCCATAAACCATAAGTCTATTGAAGCAGCCCATGATGCATAATTACTACTGCTCTGAAGCTTGACTGTAGTACTTGTTGGAGAATTAGAAATAGAAGAGAAGAATGGTTTGATATCACTTGATTTTGATGCTTCTACCATTGTAATCAAGAGAACTGAGACATAAATCCAAAATAATAGAAACACCCTCTGTCAGAGTTGAACCACCAACAAGAAGGAAGAACTACAGGAAACTGATTGCTTGAGAAGAACTAGAAGATGTCGACGAACCAGGAGAATCGAGAAGTAAACTCCTCAAAAGCAAAGAGGAGCGCCTCCTTTAAAGATATGTTTTAGGGTTTCTGAAATAGATGGATTTAGAAGAAGAAGAAGGCCAAGAACCAACCTAGCTCTGATACCATGGAACAACAATGTTTGTGAAATATGTTGCTTGATTATTTCCCCAAGCAAGATGGGAATTGGCAATGTACAAGTTACATGAATTAGGAAAGAGTTGATCCTAAATAATCAAGAATATGCACACAATATTAGTCTACCATATTTACACAAATCAATATACTATCTCTATTTTCCAAATATATCTAAACAGTCAATCTAGGAAATAATATCTCTATTTTCCTAATATATTTTAACAATAAGTAATCAGTTTATGTAAACTTTATATCTTCTCTTCTTCGTCTTCTTCTTTTCCTAGAGGTGGGGGGTTGCATAAGAACTTGCAATGTGGCAATAGGTTACTTTTTTTTTTTTTTTCCTTCTTTAAAGTGTTAATACTATTATTTTAATTTGAAATTTTTGTAGATCTACTTGAAGTTTGACCAGTCTTCTAGAGATCCAGCCCGTGTTCAACTTTTCTATGAACGTTCTATTACCGAGTTTCTCATATCAAGTGATTTGTGGCTTGATTATACTCACCATTGGGATAAAACCTTGAAGGTTTCACTCATATTTTCTCTTTTCAATTCTTTATGTTTCAAGTATTTGTAATTTTAGCAATTAATCATCTCTTTTTCCCTTCAAGTAGGAAATATTGTACGGGATGTTCATTCCAGGGCTAGGAAAAATTGTCCTTGGGTTGGTGATCTTTGGGTTCGATCTCTGCTCACTCTGGAATGTTGCTGTGTGCCTGAGAAAGAGATATCTACTGTAAGTTTCATTTGTTACCCTTCATCTGTTGCAAATTATGAGAGATTGTTATAAGTAGCTTAAGAACAATGAAGTTTCACAAACTTTAGTGTTGGAATTTCATTCTACTCCTTTTATAGATATAGAGCTTTACTCTTGTCGTTTAAAAAAAATTTCATATCATATTCAGGTCTTTGAGAAGTCCCTTCTATGGACTTTTTCGACCATTGAGGAGGTAAAGATATTCTTTTCTCTAATTTGCAGGCTTGACTTACTGCTTTTTGTAACTTGTTATTGTTTCATCTACATTTTATGCATTAAAAATCTTTGTTAATTGGGCCCTCTTTGTTTCAGTACCTAATCTTATTCCTCACTCAAGTGGATGGTTTGAGATGAAGAATCCTTTTGCCTGGAGTAGAAGAGGATGAACTAAATTTTCCATTGATAAGGGAAACCTTTTAGGTTTACATATGTATACTTTTCATTTTTCCCTGTTAAAATTGTTTTTACTCGATGTCAAGAACTTGAAGCTTCTCAAGACATTTGTAGATGCTCTATTCATGATGAATTTTGGATGAAGAAAATGTGGACCTTGTAGCTAGTCTACTCTTTCAAGGTCCAGGCATAGATCTCTTACAAATGTGTATCAAGTGCTTCTACCCTTAGACTTCGAAGAAAAGTCTATTAATTTACTTCATTTAGTGTGATGTTATAGTACCATTATGACCACTTTATGTAGAAATTACAGTGCATAAGTTTTGGTACTCCAAGATGACTTTTGCTAATTGCTAGATTGTTACCTTTGTTAATTGTTTTGCTGTGGAATAGTGTCCTTTGCTAAAAAATTTCTCATTCAGCATGGGAGTTGCATGCACGGAAGATATCTTTATGGATCTGTGAATTTATAAAATTTGCATGTCATATTCAACTAGTACATCGTTGTTGTATAATTGTTGTCTTTAATAGTTGTGTTTATAAACAATTAGCCTGATATCTCTTTAGAGTACCATCGAAATTGCAGGCTCTGTATGATTGGATGTATTATATATACTTCAATACTTAACTGTGCATTTTCTTCCTTTTAGCACGCATCAGATTACTTATCTTAGCAGATGAAGAATACAGATGGTTTGCTGCATTTGTATGCTTATTGGGCTTGTTTGGAGCTAAATTTAGTTGCAGCTTTAGGTGTTTGGGAGAGCCTGGTTAAGATCTGGTTTGGCCCATTCATCATTTTCTCTTTCTTATCCTGTATAGTTCAATATGGTTGATTTATGATTCATCTTTTTATTTTTTCCATATAACTTGCTTTTTGTCTGTGCAGTGAGTCAATGTTGGAAGCCTGCCAAGGTTATATAGCTATGGAAATTGATTTGGGACATCTAAACGAAGCTAGGTCCATCTCCAGGAGATGTTATAGTAAAAGATTTAGTGGGACAGCTTCAGAGGTATAATTCTTTTACATTACTTGCTTTCAATTATACTAGATTGATTTATGGACAAAATTTGAATTTGAATGTTTCTAAACTGGTTTTTTCCTAATTTTTCTTTTTTTTGAAAATTGTTGCTTTTAGTAGTATACGATGCAGCTTTATTTAATCAATTGATATTTGTCATCTGCAATGCAAACATTTCTTTCTTTATTCTCTTTTTGCTGCTGATGGAAGTTGAAACTAGACAAATAGCTTAAGTCAAGGTTGTTAAAATGTTGTTTATCAAGTAGGGCAATTTATAGAGATCTTTTGAACTCTTAATATAGAATCATGCTCTTCAGTTGAGAATATATTTGCAGAGTAGCCTTGCAATAGGTCAACCTGTTACTTGGGCACCAGAATCATAATTGTTTAATATGTCATTTTGAATAATTTTTCCAAATCATACATAAATGGTATATGACAGTATCTCTGGGGGTCATGCTAGTTGAAAATCCATGACGTTTATTTTTTTTTAACTTTAAACTTTGGAGTTATTGATACTCAGATGAAATTATGGCATATATGAAGCAATCACATTTAAACCATAAGTAGTGGAGTAGTTTTTGAAACACAATAGGCTGATATAAGAGTAGACGAGGACACCTTAGCTTTCCTTATTTACTAAAAATGTGCCCATTGTTATTCAGAAATAAAAGTTTATTTTCTTTTAAGTGTGAAACTTGTCAACTTGCAAAATACACCAAGTCTATCTATCTAGCTCATAAATATAAGAGTTCTAGGGTTTTTTAATAATTCATAGTGATATTTGGGGCCCATCTAGAGTTACAAATATTTTAGGGTCTAAGTGGTTCATCAGTTTATTGATGATCACACTAGAGTATGTTAGGTATACTTGATGAAAAACAAGTTTGAAGTAGGTTAATTGTTCAAAAACTTTCATTCAATGGTTGAAACTTGGTTTCAAGAAAAAATCTAAGTTTTAAGGACTGACAATGGTAAGGAATATTTTCACTCTATCCTAGGAAACTACCTGTTACATCACGGGATTGTACATCAACGCTCTTGTGTTAATACCCCTCAACAAAATGGGATAGTTGAAAGAAAAAATAGGCACCTATTAGAGGTTGCTAGAGTCTTAATGTTTTCCATGAATATACCTCAATATTTTTGGAGTCATGCGATTTTAACATCTGCATATTTGATAAATAGATTACCTACTAGAATTCTTGATTTTCATACGCCTCTTGGGACTTTGCTAAAGATCTTTCCTAGTTGTAGGATCCTAAATACTGTACCCTTAAAGGTGTTTGGATGTACTGCTTTTGTACATGTTATGTCTCCTAATAGAGGAAAGCTAGACTTTAGGGCCATTAAATGTTTCTTGCTTGGATATTCTCCCACACAGAAAGACTATTAGTGTTATTGTCCTGTAAAGAGAAAATTATATGTCTCTAGTGATGTTACATTTTTTGAGTCACATACATTCTTTCCCATTTCCCTTCAGGAGAGAATTTAAGAGATTGTAAAGGTCATTCGTGGTAAGTAGTGTTACCCTTACAACCACACTTGAGTCAGTCTCAGTAGTCTCCTAGTCCAAGTCAAAGTTCAAAGTCACCTAGTTTCCTATAGGTCAGCCTAGTCCTATAAGAATGAGTCAGTCTCCTAGTTAGCCTAATTCAGGTTAGGTTCTTATAGGTCAGCCTTGTCCCATAAGCATGAGTCAATCTCGTAATCAGCCTACCAATTTATGTCCTACTCTAACTATATAGCCCACTCTTGGTAAACCAAACTCTCAGGAAAGATTGAAACTAGGGGGAAGTCTGGAGAGATTAAATCAGTCAGGTGTCCAATGTTATTCTCGAAGAACTGTAACGCCCCACTTGAGGTACGTTGCTAATGTTTCTTATGTCGCTCTTATTTGAGTCGGTTTTTATGAATAGTGGTTGGTTGGTCTTTGGTTGTGTTGATATGTTGAGTTTTTGCCTTGAATTGAATCAAAATTAGAAGGTTTTTGCTGTTACAGGGCTTGTCGCGGCGAAGAGGTGTTAAAGCCACGGGAGAAGCTGCTGGACAGTTTCGCCGCGGCGAAGGAAGCTTCTTCGCCGCGGCGACGTGCCGGTTGAAAAGTTTATTGAGTTTTAGATATTTTTTTCCCTTGGGTACTATTTGACCATTTTACCCCTAATTAGCAGGAAAAGTGGGGAGTAAAATGTAAGGAAATTTCATGGAGAATATGTTAGTATGGGGGTGTGTTTATAAGGAATCAAAGGATATGATGGAATTTTCAAGAAAGAGCAAGGGCAAAATGGGAAGAATGAGTTTGTTAGGAGATATTTAAGGGGGTTTAGTCTTTGAGAACTTTTCATTTTCCCATTCCACCGCCTCCTCTATTCTCCAAATTTCTCTCAAATTCCTTCAATCTTCCAAGGATTTCCAAGAGCTTTTTGAGTAACTTTTAGTAGGGTTTTAATCTAAAGCATCCTAAGGTAAGGATTCTGCGTAGATGAGAGTTTTATTATTGTTTTGATTAGAGTCTCATTGTTGTTGGTTAAAGTTGTAGAGAGAAGGCTAGCTCCCAAAGGAAAGGAGAAGTGTTAAAGAAGTATTTCCTCATAAGGTAAGTAAATTCAACCTAAGTTGAGATTTAAGAACTCTTTTGAGTAGAGTTATATATATTTATATGGTATTCATTAGGTTGTGAATTGAGATGAATGATTAGTAGTTATGAATGAGTAATACACATAAATTGAGTTATGAGAAGTGTTTTATTTGCTTGATGTTGGGTTGAGTTTGATTGAAGTTGGAGGAAGTTTTGAGCAAGCTTATGGAAGTGTCTTTTCTTTTGACAGGAAAAAAGAGTTTATGAGGGAGTTTCCTCCCATTTGGATGATTAAAGAAAAGAGAAAAGTTAGAGTTAAAGTAGAGTTTTATATGCACAGAGTTGTATGATGAAATGTTCAAGAGAAGCATAAGTAAGAGTAGAAAGCCTTAATTGTTGCTACATGTCATAGTTGCATTTAAATGATTAAGAGTATGAGTCATTTATGTGCATTAACTATGCCTTATTTATGGACGAAAAAGAGAGTAGAGAAAGAGTAGAGACTTTTGAGTTTAGACTACTTTAAGAGTAAGAGAAAGAGAGAATGAGTGCTATAGAGTAAAAGCTAGAGTAGTGCTAAACAAGAGAATAGAGTGGTTGTGCGATGGGGAACCTGTGAGTAAGAGTAGAGTATTCCCGCATGTACGCTGCATTGAGAGAGCGGCATAAGTATCAGAGAGAGAAGTGGTGTAGCCCGTAGAGTACATGCGGATGAGGGTTATACCCGAGTTTACCCTAGAGATTCTATGCACTACAGGCCAAAGGTTCGAACCATGCATAACCAAGTCCGATCGGCTAGAATGAGTAGAAGTCACAAGGAGTGGGAGCGAGTCCCAGCCGTGCCTCTGGTCAGATGGGGCCGTGACTTACTGAAAGAGAGTTAGTAGAAAAGAGTTATGAGAAAAAGAAACAGAGAGTTGTAGAAGAGAAAGAGTCAATAAAAATGGTAGGGAAAGAATTAGAAAGAGAGTTACGGGGATATTTGAGTAGAGGGGTACTTACTGAGCATTGTTTTGTGCTCATCCCGTTGTTCCCTATGTTTTTGCAGGTTCTAGATGAGGACACAGTCGGATGGACATCGGCACACGAAGAGAAATGGCTACACTATCCACCCTATTTTGATAGTTTTGCATATGATACAAATCTTTTATATATATGTATAAAGAATACATATGTTTAATAAAAGAAAATTTTGGGCCCAACTTTTCATGTTATTTTACATGTACTTTTACTATGCATATTTTTATGAGAAAGGAGTCGTTACAAGAACTGACTATCAAAATGGAAGGAAACCTAAAGATCTGCATCAGTAATCATCCCAACTGGAAGAAACCAGTGATTCACAGTCATAAAGTAAGGAAGAACTATCTTCTGATGATCTAAATCAGGGCTTGATGATTTACATTTACCTATTGCACTAAGAAAGGGTGTTATATCCTGTATGTTGCATCCTATTGCTAAGTATGTGGCATAATGTAAGTTGGCAGATGATTTTTTGGCATTCACCACTAATCTCTCAACTGTGAAGGTTCTAGCATCGGTACATGAGGCATTAGGGGATGAAAACTGGAGGAAGACTGTGATAAAGGAGATGGAGGCTCTTGAGAAAAAATAAGACTTGGGAGTTGGTGAGTTTACCTAGAGGGAAAACAAGTATGAGCTACAAGTGGGTGTTTACTATTAAGTATAAGGCAGATGGAACAGTTGAAAGGTATAGGCAAGGCTGGCGGCAAGGGGATTTACGCAAACCTATGGAGTAGACTATGAGTTGACCTTTGCTTCGATGCCTAAGTTGAATACTATCAAGATGCTCGTCTCTTGCAACAAATCTAGACTGGCCTCTCCAACAACTAGATGTGAAAAAATGTGTTTTTGAATGGTGAACTTGCAAAAGAGGTATACATGGAAATGCCACCAGGGTTTGAAAGAAGTGGAAAGGACGAAAAAGTGTGCAAATATAAGAAATCATTATATGGCCTAAAACAGTCTCCACAGGCCTGGTTTGAAAAATTCACAACTGATCATACATTATTCCTTAAAACCTTTGTAAGTAAGATTACTATGAGGTTGAAATCTTGGAAGAGCTTGAAATCAAAACTACGGAGCCTATGAGGTTTTAATATGACAACAAGCTTGTGATTGGGATAGCACACAATCCAGTGCATCATGATAGGACCAAGCACATTGAAATAGATAGACATTTCATCAAAAAGAAAATAGAAAATAAGCTGTTATGTGTTACCTACTTGCCTACAAGTCAGCAGACAACATATATTCTTACAAAAGGATTGCCTAGACAGTTGTTTGTTAATCTAGTTTCCAAGCTAGGAATGATAAATATCTATTCACTAGCTTGAGGGGGAGTGTAGGATTTCTAGATTAGAATATGATCAATTTAAGAGTTATCTAAGTC